AGACTTAAAACGGACCTAGGGGGTAACTTTTTCATGCAGAGCATGGTGCATGAATGGAACAAGCTGCTAGAGGAAGTGATGGAGGTTGGTTCCCTAGAGCATTACCCTGGGCCTCTGGATTACTAGTCCAGTGATAGTACTACTATGTCACCACCTCCCTGGCTGTTGTATTTTCTGAGCCTGAGAAATCATTCTGGAAATGTTCAGCAGATCAGTCAGGATTAATTAACACAAGGTTTCAGGATGAAGGGGAGTGTTTATAGGAGAAGTAAGGGATCAAAGATTTGTCTGGAAGTATGAATAGCTGATTCCTGAGTAGCTGGTGTCTGAAAATAAAAGGAATAAGAAAAAATGTCATGACTCGTGCCAGAAATCAAACCCCAAACTTCCTGTAAAAACCGAAAGAGCTGCAGATGCTGTAAATCGGTAACAAAAACAGAATTTGCTGGAAAAGCTCAGCAGGTTTGGCTGCAACTGCGAAGAAAAAATCCAAGTTAATGTCAGTTAAGACGTCGGCAAAACGTCAGTTTATATGCAGAAAATAGGGATGTTTTCCCAGCTACCATAAGTTCTGAGGAAAAGTCACTGGACCCAAAACGTTAACTCTGATTTTTTTCTTCACAGATGCTGCCAGACCTGCTGAGCTTTTCCAGCAAATTTTGTTTTTGCTCCAGTATTCCTGGATTCCCTCGACTGTGAAAATTTGATTGAACAGTTAACTATCTAATTTTACCTAGTTTTCTAGTTCAGATTAAAAGAATATGCACATCTGGCTTTTTAATATCAAGACAATAAACAGGTAAAATCACCATTGTCCCCTCTCATTAGAAAGAGATGACTGATGGTGGTTTAACATGGTGGTCACTATGCCTCAAGCAAGGGGAGAGGCTGAGAAGGAGAATCCTTCATGGTAACCTCAGCTGGTGCAGGAATTGAATCAATGCTGTTGGCATCGCTTTGCATCACAAGCCAGCCAACTGAACTAACTGAGCCCCTAGTGATGTTAACTATTCATTGTAATCTGTTCTGGACCATCTGCAAGAAAGAAAAAAGAATTGCTAACAAATTAACTAAAATTCTACCCACTTTCTAAAATTCCCATACACATCAGAGATAAAAGAATGTAAGACACAAATTTTATAGGTGGGAAGGGGACAAAAGGTAAAGAAGCATAGTTCTAGCACCATTTCGGATCACAGATTTCGATGAAGTATTTGTTTCAGTTTATTTCTTTGCACAGAATTGTTGTGGCACAGAAAGAGGCTGTTTGGTCTATCATCCACAGTGTCCTGGCTGGCGATTCATGAACTCATGATCATAATTACAGGATATGGGGTCAGTGAATTAGGATCAAGATTAGGTGAACTTTCTCCCTTATTGGCTTGTGAATCTTTGGAATTCAATAGCACAACGGGTTGTGAAGGCTTAAACAATGAGTACATTCAAGATAACTCCATAGATTTTAGGTACAAAGGGAAATTGAGGGATGATGAACAGGGAAGTAGAGTTGATGTAAAAGTTGACCGGTAATCTTTTTGAATGGGGCATCAGTGTTGTGGAACCATATGGCCTACTTTGAATTGTAGTCCTTGAGTTCTTATGAATTTTCAAATTTATTAGTGCTGAATTCACAGTTCTATAAATTCTCTGGATTATTCCAAGTCAGATTTTGTACAAATCAGAAAATAGATCAAATGGATCATTGTGAGGCAATTGTCACAAAAACACAGTTGTTTCAGAGCAGAAGGAGGCAATTTAGCCAATCATGTATGTGCTGGCACTGCAAATGAGTAATTGACTTGCTGCTATTGTCTTGCTTTCTCCCCATAACAGTGCTCAAAATTCATGGGAGTGACAGGCAAATCTGGTCACAAAATATCCAGTTGCCTGGGAAAATTCAATCTTAGGGTGACTGATCCCCTAATAGAATGGAAGGAATTAGTGAGGAACTGATTCTCTAATCACAGGCACAGTAAAATTGCTAACTTCTGCAATCAGTCTTCATAACTGAAGTTCCTCATTCCTGGAATCACATTGGTGTATTATTTTCTTTGTTCTCATGAATCAATGCCTTCACATTCTTAAGTGAGTCATCCATGTGAGTCAATCTTCTTTTATTGATCACACCCTCCAAAACTATTACCTTCCTCAAGAGGATTGTAATTTTTTTTTAACTTCTGTTTCAAAGGTACTGTAAACAAAATGGTGCCTTGAGAGCATGGATTGTAAGCACTTTGTGTTTATCAGATCGAAGACTGTGACATAGCACTGTGACATCTAAATGATCTTTGTTATGAGTTTACAAGTTGTAAGTTTTGAATAATTACCTTCTGCCAAATGCAACTTTTATGGCTTACTATTGACATTGTGTTTATCAGAGATAAGGTACAAAGTGACCTGTATAGTTTAGCTTAATTAGGTTCTTGTCTAGGATATATTCTTAATAAAGTACATAATTAATTGGGCTGTACTTTGGAGGTTGAGTTCTTAGTGATGGGTTGTCCTATGTTTTTTCGCTACCTGCCTCCTGAGTTTCAACTCGTCTGCGCCAACCAGACATCCCAATCTAACCTACTCCCATTTGCCAGCATTTGGCCCATATCCCACTAACTCTTCCTAATGCCTTTTTAAGTGTTGTTATTGTATCTGCCTCCATTTCCTCTAGAAGCTCATTCCATGCATGCACCACCTGTGAAATAGTTAGCCCTCAGGTCCTTTTTAAATATTTCCCTTCTCACCTTAAACCAATGCCCTCTAGTTTTGGCCTCTCCACTGTAGGGAAAAGATCTTGGCTATTCACCCTATCCATACCCCTCAACCTCCAATGCCTTCTGAGATGCACCTTCTCCACTTTGGACAGTCTTGGGCCAGAGATTCCCAGGTGTCAGTGGGAATGCTGCACTTTGCCAGTGAGGCCACAAGTTGGTTCAAAATGGCAGCCTCTCTGCGATGCCAGAGGCTGAGGCCACACAAGATAACAGACAGTACCTTCTCCCGCACAACTCGTGCAACGTTGACCAACCAGTCTGGCACCATGTGCATAGCATGGGTTATCACAAGGATGAACAACGTAGTTTTTAAGCAAAATTTATATTATTGTTACAACATACAAATGCAAGATTGCATTCTCAACATGTAGGATTGCGAGCAGAGAAAAAGAAACAGCTGAATGTTGGACTTGACCATGAGACTAATGTTCTCCATGGAACCTGATGTTGCCTCCGTGTTGTCTGATCAAAAGCAGAGCTATTCTTCCCAACCTAATTCTCACCCTAATCCATTGCTTCTGACACTTCTTTTGGCGAGGGAAGACATGAGGTGGTCTATGGAGTCTTTCGTTGCACTTCAGTGATCCAGAGACAAAAGAATGAGAATAACTTGTCTCGACCTTCCAGCGTGTCTAAACAGGCTTAACTCCAATGGACATATTAAACCTGCTTTTTCAACTTGGATGAAAGTAGTTCCTGAAATGGACTTTTGAGTGTAAAAAGTTGCAAGTTTAGACTCTTGATGATTGTTCCCAGGTCTCTGTTACATATAATTTTCCTATACGTATGATTTTATTTCCCACAGTGAGAAGCTTGATGCTGTTGAAATCTGATGTGACAGAGTACCTAGAAATCTTGTATTTTAAAAAAAGTCACTGCACTAAAATCTGCCATCAAATTAGTAACTTTACATGGGTCCTTACTTAAAAGTTGCTTTTTTTTGGTAAAATGGGTTAAAGAGAAATATTGTAAGAATAGTCTTAAGAGATGGGAAAGCTCAAACAAGATAATGAGTGATGGTTATCTTAGCAAATGTCTTTGCTATCAGGGATTTGGTAAACTTCCAGTCGATTCTGTAACAAAATAATTGTATAACTAATTGTTACTGTGGCTGTTCTCAATCTTAAAAGTTAGAGGTAATTTTTGGATTTTAGTTAGGCTTAAAAAGCTGGATGCAACTTTGGTCAGAGTTTTGAATAAGATCCTGAGGTGTAAGATCTTAATACAAATCTGATACTTAGTGACTGCCTAGATGACATTACTAGCATCTCAGAAAGCTTAAGATGAAGAATTATTCACCCATTTAATTATTTTATTTAGCTTTTCAAACTTAGGATTTGGGAAAGTGATTTTTATTTGCAAATGTAAAACAGGATGAAATGTCGATGTTTATGAAACTACTGCAAGTTCGGAATGAAGTGGACACATTTGAAATAAAATAAGACATTCATGCAAGAAAGATACTGCATTTTTAATAGCTTATTTGTCTCTAGCTAACAGTGATCATCAAATGAATAATTGTATCTTTTTCTGTTTCAGGGAAATTCTCCTTACAGAAGAGCAACCTATCGTTACACCCCATTATTGGCATGGATGCTGACTCCCAATATCTACCTCACAGAGCTGTACGGGAAAATCCTCTTTGTTATATGTGATATTCTTGCTGCTCATGTCATGCACAGAATCCTAAGCCTTCGAGGATTTGACAACTGGAGAGCATGCTGGTACTGCAGCCTATGGCTTTTCAACCCGTTGCCAATGATGGTCTCAAGCAGAGGGAATGCAGAAGCCATTCTTGCAGTCTTGGTGATGGTGACTTTGTATTACCTGGAAAGTAGGCAGATTGTGAAGGCTGCGTTATTCTACGGGCTTTCTGTGCATATGAAAATTTACCCAGTGACTTATGCTGTACCCATAGTCTTATCACTTCAGACTGATCAGCAAGCAATGGAGGAAAGTAATTCGACTAAGTGGAATGAAGGCTACCTTAAAAAAGGCACATATTTTCACAATTGTATAAGGAACTTCCTGAAGCTGGTTGTCAGACTGCTAAACCAGGAAGTGCTGCTATTCATTGGAATTGCTGGACTGCTATTTTTTGGTCTGGGAGTACTTTTCTATTGCAGGTAAAGTAACTTAAAGTACTCTTCACTCAATGGGCTCAACAGCCATAAGTTGTCCTCTGTAGAGTTCTCTGAAACAGCTGCACAAAGTCAGCTATCTAGTTGCATGCCTGTAAGAACCTGTCCTGCAAGGCAAGCTGTCAGCTATGAAGGAGAAAGATTCCCACTCATTTATTCCATTCTAAAATGTCTCACAATATCAAATGACTGACTACAGAGAAGAAATACAACTAAAACAATAGAATAGAAATTGTTTTAGTGGCATAACTTGAGGTATGAGAGCTGGTTAGGTTCTTTAGCTCAATGATTATATAAGAATACCAAAACAGCAACAAAAACAGAAGTTTCTGAAAATGCTCAGCAGGTCTGGCAGCATCTGTGAAGAAAAAAATCAGAGTTAACATTTCGGGTCTGATGATCCTTCCTCCGGTTCCGAGGAAGGGTCACTGGACCCGAAACGTTAACTGATTTTTTCTTCACAGATGCTGCCAGACTTGCTGAACATTTCCAGCAACTTCTGTTTTTGTTCCTGATTTACAGCATCTGCAGTTCTTTTGGTTTTTAATACCAAGACAAGGTTTGATTGCTGTTCTGGTTGTGGTAGGTTCTGGTTGCCACCGTACCCATAATAAAACATCATTGCACTTTGCTGTAATTCACCAAATAATCACAAAGCACCTGCCTTTGCACAGAGAATTTGAGAAGAAACAAGGTTTGTATGAATAGATAATAGGAAATTACATCAGTACTGATTGGAAGGGCATCAATTTTAGAGCGTAAATCACAGAATTGTTGCAGCACAAAAGCCCATTGTGCCTGTGCTGACTGAAGAAAATAGTCACCCATTCAAATCCCATTTTACAGCGCCTGTTCTGTAGTCTTTTGGGTTCCAGCACTTCAGGTCCTTTTGTAAAACTTGGTAACAAGTTCTAGACACCCATCATCCTATGGGTGAAAAGGGTTTTCCTCATCCCTCCGATTCTTCTACCAATCACCTTAAATCTGTGTTTCTAGTAATTGACTGTCTACTAGGGGAATCAAGTTTTCCCTATTATTATTTTGTACACCTCAATTAAGTCACTCTCCGTCTCCTCTGCTTTAAAGAAATCAACGCTGGCCTATCCAATTTTTCTTCATAAAGCATTTTTCAAGCCCTGCTACCATCTTTGTAAATCTCCTCTGTATTCCCCCTAGAGCATTACGTCCTAGTAATGTGACTAGAACTATATGCAGAACTTTAGCTGTGGCCTAATCAATGTCTTGCATTGTTCCAGTATTGCGTCCCAATATTTTGCATTCAATACCTTGCCTAATGAAGGAATCCATTCACCTTATCTTTACCACTGTATTTATTTGTTCTCCAAGATCTCTCATTTCTTTGACGCTTCTAAAAATGCACCCTGCGTGTTCCTTTGCTAATTATCAAATTCAATATTCCACCATCTGTGGTGGGATTTGAACCTGGGTCCCCAGAACATTAGCTGGGTTTCTGGATTAATAGTCTAGCAATTATACCACTAGGCCATTGCTTAACAATTTGCCCAGGCACAATAAAATTGCCAGCTATGAAAAATAGCAGTCTGTTACAGTGCTTTGATTGCAACACCTAAAGTCTCAGTTTACATTTGTTTTTTTTCAAATCCAGATATGGCTGGGAGTTTCTGGACCACACGTACCTTTATCACTTAACACGAAGAGACATTCGCCACAACTTCTCGCCCTATTTCTACATGTTGTATTTGACAGCAGAGAGTGAGTGGAGCTGTGGTCTGGCTCTAGCTGCTTTCATCCCACAGTCTCTGCTGCTCTTTGTCACATCTTTTGCATATTACAAAGACCTGACCTTTTGCTGCTTCCTGCAAACTGCGATTTTTGTCACTTTCAACAAAGTGTGTACTTCACAGGTAAATGTGAAGAAATTCTCCTTTGCAACTTTTTAATGAATTGTATTTCAAATTTTCCTTGGAAAATTACCATTTTAGGACTGGGTGAATCCGGCTGAATGAATTAGATATAACAAAGTGTGGAACTGGAGGAACACAGCAAGCCAAGCAGCATCAGAGGAACAGGAAAGCTGACGTTTTGGGTTGGGACCATTCTTCAGAAATGGAGAGGGGGAGGGGAGCTCGGAAATAAATAGAGGAGAGGTGGGGCTGGGGAAGGTAGGTGGGTTGGTGATAGGTGAATGCATGTAGGCAGTGGTTGGGACTGCTTAGTGAGGTGGGAGTGGTGGATTGGTGGGAGGGAAGATGGACAGAGATAGTAGGAACTGCCAATGCTGGAGAATCTGAGATAACAAGGTTTGGAGCTGGATGAAGACGGTAGGCCAGGCAGCATCAGAGGAGCAGGAAAGCTGATGTTTCGGGTCTGGACCTGAAACGTTGGCTTTCCTGCTCCTCTGATGCTGCCTGGCCTGCTGTGTTCATGAGAAGATGGACAGGTTGTGTCAGGTCAAGGAGTTGGGGATGAGAGGGAGGTTTGGTCATGGGATGTGGCCGGGGGCGGGGAGATTTTGAAACTGGTAAAATCCACGTTTAGGCCATCGGGCTGTAGGCTTCTGAGGTGGAATATGAGGTGCTGCTCCTCCAGTTTGTGGGTGGTGTTGTTGTGACATTGGTGGAGGCCCAGGATGGACATGGCACCCAGGGAGTTGGAGGGGGAGTTAAAATGTTTCGTGACCAGAAGATGGTGGTGTTTGTTGCATAGAGCGCAGATGCTCTACAAAAGGTCTCCGAGTCTCTGCTTGGCCTCACCAATGTAGAGGAGGCCACGTCGGATGCCAAGACCAAGTTGACAAATGGGCAGATGAACCCATGTCTGAATGTCGAAGGTTTGTTTTTTGCCTTGAATAGAGGTGAGGGGGGAGGTGTAGGGGCAGGTGTAGCACTTTCCTGCAGGGAAAGGTGCTGGGGGTGGTGGAGTTAGTGGGGAGTGGGGAGTTTGGAGCGGACGAGGGAGTCGCGGAGAGAGCGGTCCCTACGAAAGGCAGATAGGGGTGGGGTCAGATTGTAAGTGGCGGACAATGATACATTGGATGCAGAAGTTGGTGGGGTGATATGTGAGGACAAGGAGGATTCTGTCTTTATTTTTGTTGGGGGAGGCGATGTGAGGGTAGAGGTGTGGGAAATGCAAGAGATGTGTTTGAGGGCATTTTCAATCACCGGAGGGGGGACAATCACGGTCCTTGAAATAGAAGGATATCTGGAATGTGTGGGAGTGGAACGCTCCATCTTGGGAGCATATGCACTGGAGGAATTGGGAGTGGGTGAGAGGAGGTGTAGTCTAGGTAGCTGTGGGAGTCAGTGGGCTTGAAACAGATGTCAGTTACAAGGCGGACATCAGAGATGGAAACAGAGAGGTCCAGGAAGGAGAGATAGGTATCGGAGATGGTCCAGGTGGATTTGAGGTTGGGGTGAAAGGTGTTAGTAAAGTTGATGAACTGTTCCAAGTTCCTTGTGGGAGCACGAGGCAGCGCTGATGCAGTCATCAATGTAACAAAGGAAGAGGCAGGAGATAAAGCCAGTGTAGCAGCAGAAGAGGGACTGTTCCACGTATCCTACGAAGAGACAGGCATAGCTTGGGCCCATATGGGTTCCCGTGGCCACCCCCTTAGTTTGTAGGAAGTGGGAGGATTGAAGGAGAAGTAGTTAAGCGAATGAGGATGTCAGTGAAGTGGGACTGGATGAGCCTGTGGGAGAGGAAGAAACGTAGGGCTTTTAGGCCATCCACACGGGAGATACAAGTGTAGAGGGACTGGATGTCCGTAGTAAAGATGAGGCGCTGGAGGCCAAGGAACCGGAAGTCCTGGAGGAGGCAGAGGGCGTGGGCGGTGTCCCGGACGTAGGTGGGGAGATCCTGGACCGGGGGGGATAAAAAGAGTCAAGGTAGGTGGAGATGAGTTCAGTGGGGCAGGAGAAGGCAGAGACAATGGGTCAGGTGGGACAGTCGGGTTTGTGGATTTTGGGAAGAAGGTAGAAAAGGATGAATTAATTGTGGTTTTGGCAGTTCTAAAAGGACTAGATGATCCAGAATACCACAAATATTTCACCTTCTCTAGAACCAGAGAATATGATGTTAATATAAAATTAATTTGTTGAATCTGTTTTACCTGCCCTAAGAGGTTGGAGTAGAGACAGGGCCTGGCAAAATGCTGGGGAGTAGCATCATTGAGCTGGCTGACATACCCTTGCTGCTGGGAAGGTTTCACAGTGACAGGAAGGAGGCAAGCCAGGGTGAGATTTGATTTTTTTATGGGCTGTAAAGTGAAGTTGTTGTAAGGGGAGGCCGCCACCAATTTCATTGATCCATAGGCTACCCTGGCCAGAGATGGTGCTGCAAACAGAAATTGCAGCCCCTGTAGTCCCAAACTCTTGCACCCTTGGTCAATCTGAATTTAAACTGCACCTCTCCTGGGTGCATCCATTTTGAGACACCCCTGAGAATCTCTTAGCTGCCTCAACAGCATCTATCTCTCTGTGTTCAAGTGAGCAGTATCAGGAACCTACCTGACACCCTCAATTGGACAGCAGGCCCAGAGGCTGTCTCTGGCTTTTTAAAAGAGAAGTTGAACCAGGGCCACTGACATCTTTTGGTCCTGATTCTGATAATTTTATGGGGAAAAAAATCACTAGGGAGAAGGCTCAAACAAAATTGATTCATGCAGATCTGAATTCTTGTATTCAAAAGTACTGATTATTTTCTGAAGTGTTAATGTAGCATGCATGAAACAGGTTCAAAGTCATTAAAGATTTCCAAATTTCGCATTGTCTCTCTTTATCTCTGTCTCCATTTGTCTTGTCCCATCTCTACATTTTATGCAAATAAAATATTGTATAACCTTTTCAGAGTCATGTGTGGGAAGAGAAAAGAAACTTGCATTCACTATGTTTAAATAATTTGCAAATATTTACAATTTTAGTATTTCCTGTGGTATTTGTGTCTGCTCCCAGTGGTTCTTCCAAATCTGGCGCTGACCTGGAGAAGAGGTCTGGTGTTGTTGGTTTTGTGGTTCATCGGTCAGGTTAGTACTGTTGCTTTATTCTATTGATGTCTTAATGGTATGGTCACAGAAAGTACCACAGCTTCATCTGTAGCATTATGTACAGGGGGCTCTTTAGTGGAAGATTGTTACTAGGCTGCAGTTGTGCAGCTCCTAGTTGGCCAGTGTTGTGTAGCAAGAGCTTTGGATATAAGTGGCTGTTTTAGCATCTACTTCTTATTTTTATTGTCTGTGTGCTTGTCCCAGCAAAATCCTAGTGTGTTGGGTTTTATCAGCCAATATTCGTCATCTTCAATGTGTTTTAACCATTGCACAACACAATTCACCAAATGGTTGGGAAGGGAGGCAAAGAAAATATTTTTAGAAAAGGGAATGTTAACTTCAGATGCTAAAACTTTGTTTGTATAAACACATTTCTTTGGAACCAGCACTGAATTTTTTTGTTTTGGTTTTGTTTTGTCAACCTAGGGATTATGGCTCACCCCTGCATATTACCTGGAATTTGAAGGACAGAACACCTTTCTGTTTATTTGGTTGGCTGGTTTGGTATTTCTCTCTATCAACTGCTACATTCTGTTGGTATTGATCTCAAGCTACAAGGAAAGGGAATTGCAGCCAAAAACAAAGACTGAATAACAGAAATGCTTCTACGCACAGGATGTTGCTGTTTACTAACTGAGTATAGATTCTGATCTGTTATGATCTCTGTGGAGCAAGTTGACTCGGATTAATTGATCAAGGCATTATTGTGGAGAATGCACCAGGACCTTTTTTCTCCCTGAGCTTTGTTGAGTAAAAAGAAAGGTACAATATCTGAACATGTTTTTTTCTGCCCTACAGAGGCCAGGTCCCTGCTGTGTAAATCAATGTAGCATCTAGCAAGTGAAAGTGAGCTATGTTGCAAGCCTGATTAAGGACCTTAATTTGGGTGTTTGTGTAATTCTTCAGCAGTTTTCAAAGGATGAGTTCTGCTAATTGATGTAAACTCTGAAGTCCTTTTCAAACAATCTTGAAATTACAAATTCCACAGACAACTTAATGTTTCACTTGCCCAAAGGAACACATTTTGTAAATGAAATAGTTATCCAGTTGTGGCAAATAGAATGTAACACGATGCAGACCCCCTGCTTCTAAGGATATCAAGGGAAATACAATCATAAGTCTTTTTGTTTAGGGACAGTAATCTTTGACCCAGAGCACTACTGTAAGGAAAATTTGTAATTTCTTTAAGTTGTATGTGGAATGTGTAATTGTTTTTTAAAAATGTATGTAAAGGACTTAAAAGTTTGCATTAATTAGCAAGATTCACCCTTTGAAAATTGTACGGTCAGTATTACACTGCTTTTTAAAATTCAGTTACAGGACGAAGGCATCACTGGCTAGGCCACCTTTTATTGCCCATTCCCTAATTATCCAGAGGGCTCTTAAGAGTTAAGCACATTGCTGTGGGTGTGGAGTCACACGTAGGCCAGACCTGGTAAGGATGGCAGTTTCCTTCCCTAAATGAAATTAGTGAACCAGATGGGCTTTTCCAACAACCAGCTTTGTGGTCATTATTTGACTGTTAATTCCAGATTTTTATTGAATTCAAATTCCACCATCCACCATCGTGGGAAACCCTAAACATTTTCCCTGCCAGTTTCAATCTGCGCTAGAAGCTCATTTGCCTTGTTCGTATATTGCATGCATTTAAGTACAAAACTCTCAGTCCTACATAGACTGCCCCTTTCTCGGCTGTGCCTGAAGTTACATTCCTGGCCCCTTCCAGACTCTGTCTTACTACTTGTTCTGGAAACTTCAATAACCTCCACTGAACTCCCCCCACCCCGCCTTAACACTTCCATAACTTTTCATGTAACTGAACCCACCCCACTGTTTAGTTTAAACCATTTAGGACTGAGAGGAGAAGAAATTTCTTCTCCCAGAGAGTGGTGAGTCTGTGGAATTCTCAACCACAGAAAGCAGTCAAGATCAAAACACTATCATTTGAACAAGGAGTTGGATAGCCGAGATAAAGTGGACGTAGAGAAGATTTTTCCACTAGTAGGAGAGACTAGTACTGGAGGCCAAAGCCTCAGACTGAAAGAATGACCTTTTTAGAACTGAGATGAGGAATTTCTTCAGCCAGAGCCTGGTGAATCTGTAGAACTCTTTGCTGCAGAAGGCTGTGGAGGCTACGTCATTGAGTGTATTTAAGACAGATAATCAGAGTAATCAGGAAAATGGGGTTGAGAAACACGTCAGCCGCAATTGATTGCTGGAGCATACATGATGGGCTGAATGGCTTAATTCTGCTCCTATAGATTATGGTCTATACCCAGTTTCATAAGACTATGACCTTTGGTTCTGGACTCTCTTGTCATCCAAAACATCCTACATCAACCCTGTCTCATCCTGTTAGAGTTTTATAGGTTTCTATGAGATTCTCCCTTTGTTTTTCTGAAATCCAGTGAATATAACCCTAACTGATTCAACCTCTTCTCATATGTCAGTCTCTGCATTCCCTCTATAGCAAGGACATCCTTTTTCAGCTAAGATCAAATCTGCACACAAAATACCAGGTATGGTCTCACCAAAGCCCTGTGTAATCACACAAAGACATCCCGGCTCCTGTACTCATATCCTCTCACTATGATAGCCAACATACCATTTATCTTCTTCAACTGCTGCACCTACATGCTTACTTTATGACTAGTGTACAAGGACACCCATGTCTTGTTGCTGTTTTGATAATCTGCATCTGTTTCTTTTCCTCCTAAAGTGGATAATGTCACATTTATCAATTTTATGACTGTATTTGCCATATATTTGCCCACTAATTCAGCTTGTTCAGATCACACTGAAGCGTCTCTGCATTCTCCTCCCACCTCACCCTTCCATGCAGCTTTGTGTCATCTGCAAATTTGAAGATACTACATTTAGTTTCCTCATCCAAATCAATGTTGTGAATGGTGGAGTCCTAGCACTGTTCCTGCCAGTACCCTACTAGTTACTGTCTGTCATTGAGAAAACCACGTGTTTATTCCTGCTCGTTGTTTCCTGTCTGCCAACCCGTTTGTGATCCATCTTCATACACTACGCTCCCCCTCACCCCAAACCTATGTACTTTAATTTTGCATGCTAATCTCTTGGACTTTCAGAAGACTTTTTACAAATAAACCACATCTATTGGCTCCCTCTCGTCAACCCCGAGTTACTGCCTTGAAGAATTCCAGTATGTTTATCAAATATAAGATAGCAGGAACTGCAGATGCTGGAGAATCTGAGATAACACGGTGCAGAGCTGGATGAACACAGCACGCCGAGCAGGAAGGCTGACGTTTTGGGCCTAGACTCTTCTTCAGAAATTTCTGAAGAAATTTTCTGAAGAAGGGTCTTGGCCCGAAACGTCAGCCTTCCTGCTCCTCTGATGCTGCTTGGCCTGCTGTGTTCATCCAGCTCTGCACCTTGTTATCTCTGTTTATCAAATATGATTTGCTTTTTGTGAATCCATGATGACTGTGTCTGATTCTGCCACTTGGTGTAACCTGCCATGGTCAAACACAGCAGCTAAGAACTTTATTTTAGATAATCAGCAATAGCAGTGTCCAGACTGAAGCATCTTTAGCTGCTTTGTTTATAATCATCCCACCATGATAAAGTTGGAAATGAAATGTTCACAGGTTGTGTGTCAGTAACGTTTGTGCCACACAAGGAAAAGGCAGTAACTATCTCCAACATGAGACACTTAATCTACAGCTTAAAAACATTGCTCTGAATCAGCCACACCAGAGCAACAAAAACAGGTCAAGAGGCAGGGAATTCTGAAGTAACACGTCCCTTGCTACAGTCTGTGCACTACCTACAACATAAGTCAGGAATACAATGAAATGCTTCATGCCTGTCTGTATGAGTGCAAGTGTAACAACAAAGTTCAGTATCCAAGATGAAACAGTCCCTTAGTTGTCACTGGTGAATGGGTTGCCAAAGTGTACCATAAGTTGCTATGCACTGACTCTTTGGAGCTGAGTGGACCTGATAGAGGTTCAGTAGGATGATTCCTAGTATGGAAAGATTCTCTTGAGAGCAAAGGCTGAACAGATTAGGGCTCTACTGATTGGAGCTTAAAAGAATAAGAGATGATCTCATTGAAAGATATAAGATTCTTAAGAGGCTTGACAGGGTAAATGCTGAGAGGATGTATCCCCTCATGGGAAGAGTCTAGGACCAGAGGGCATAACTCAGAATAAAGGAGTACCAATTTAAGACTGAGATGAGGAGGAATTTCTTCTGAGAAGTTTGAGTGTCTCTGAAACAGAGAGCTGTGAGGGCAGAGTCGTTGTATATATTTAAGGCTGGGATAGATAGAATCTTGGTGAGTAGGGGTAATCCAGGGTAACAGGGAAAATGCAGGAACGTGGACGTGAGAAATGTCAGATCAGCCATCCTATTCTATGTCATTGCAGGCCTACTCTTCCTATGCCGCCTTATAGAGATATATTATGAGGGGTGTAGATAAGGTAGACAAGTAACTTTTCCCAATGATGGAAGGAACAATGACCAGGGGCATAAATTCAAGGTAAGTGGAGGTTTAGAGATGTGAGGAAAATATTTTTCAAAGAGTGGTGGGAATCTGGCACTCACTGCCTGTAAGGTTGGTAGACGTAGAAGCCCACACATTTAATAAGTATTTACATGTGCACTTGTGATAGCAAAGCATACAAGGCTATGGGGGCAAGTGTTGGAAAATAGGATTTGAATAGTTGTGTTGTTTTTGATTGGCCCAAGGGCCTTTTTCTGTGCTGTAGTTCTGTATTGACACCGTCATCCTGCTATGGAAATACGTTACTCCTCCCTCACTGTCACTGGGTGAAAATCCTGGAATTTCATCACAGTACCACAAGTGTACCTATAAGTATTAGTGATTCAAGAATTTAGCTCACCACCACCTTCTCAAGTGTAATTAGGGATGAACAATAATGCTAGCCCTGCCAGTAATACTCTCATGCATAAATTAAAAAGCAAGTATCAATGACTGTGATCATGTATCTGCTGGATTGTTGTAAAAACAAATGTTTACAAATATCCTTTTAGGAAAAAAAAATCTGCCTTTAGCTGGTTTGTGATTTAAGAACCACAGCAACGTGGGTGACTCTTGTGCCTCAAATGGCCTGGCAATTCATCAACACCTCTTCAAGGACATTAAGTTTGTCTTCCCATCAATAACAATATCCCTATGAATTAATTAAAAATTAATTGAATTTAAATAAATGTCTGATGGTAAAATCTGTTGTCATAACGTTAGATTTTCATTTTAACTGAAGTGTCTGCTTCCTTTCTTTTATTGTATTCAAGGGAATGCCTTCAGCTCCAGTTAATTCATTCTGTTCTCTTTCCTCCTTCAAAAGATATCAATAACTCTAATTTTTAAAGCATTCCATTATTGATTTTAGGATATTAATTTCTCCCAACTTTTGGAATTCACCAGCTCTGTAAAGGTTCAGCCATCTTAGTTTGATATGTTCTATTCACCATACTTTTAGCCTACACCAGGTATACTGATCTCCCCTGGTGAGATGAGGGAAAACGAACAATTCTGAGGTTTAAAAAGTGTTACATTTTGCTCCTCCACCTTTCCAAATAACAAACCAAGATACAATTCCTATATTGAATCAGAGATAGTTGGAACTGCAGATGCTGGAGAATCCGAGACAACAAGGTGCAGGACTGGAT